CTCACGATGTGATATATTATACTAAACATTTTACCAAATATACTGGCAGCTAGTTTAAAGTGCTTCTCGCATATGAAAGTAACTGACTAACTGACTAACTAACTACTTTTGTGCTTCTTTTTTTTTCTCCAGCTGCATTCTAGAGGGAAATATCGTACTTTTTACTCCATTGCATGTATCCGATTGGTGCTGTTACCTTGCAGCTCCATTTTTTATTCATTTGTTGATACAGACACCTTAATAGACTAGCTTTAGAGCACGTAAACTGCTAAATTTGAGTGGATTGAATATTCAATTCTACTGATCTTTGGATATACTGTATGTCTGACCTGCCCTTCATGTCACAGTTTGTTAAGAAGCTGCTCCTAATTTCTGCTGCTAAATCCATCAAAGCAGGTCTTTCCCCTGATTCTCAGTGAATTTATGATCCGTCGCTTGTGTGAAACTTTGGCCTTTCAACACAATGTAATTTACACAACTATAAATACTTCACCCGCTTTGACCATCCTGCTCAGTTTCACTCTGTGCCATTGGGTGAGAACAACTGGGTGCCTCTATGAATAGGAGTCCTTGGGCTTTGGGTTTTGCACCAGCGGCTGCGGTTAATACGTACTTCACAGAGTTCCCCGCTCTTAAACGTAAAGCTTACGCAGCAGAACAAAGGCTTTAAACTTATGTAATGACTCACTGTTGAACTCCACCTCCCAGTTCAGAAATCCTACCCAAGCTTTTTAGTTCCCGAGCAGCCCAAGAAACTGTAATTTCACAGTGAATTTCCTTGAGAAAACAGCAACTCGCAGTGTGCCAGGGCAGCAGTGAATGCAGAGCCTGTGTATTGACAGAGTCCCTCCACAGTATGGAATTGCAGGGAGCTATTATTAGATATAGCCTCTAACAAGCCAAAGATGAAGTTGAAGCTAACTAACTGCACTGCAGCTGAGATCCATTATGCTGTATTCAGTATCTAGAGGAGCGGCACTAAAATGGCTGATACTCAATGTGCAGTGAAGGTCAAGTCGCCCGCCTCTATAAATATAATGGTCTGTCCCCCAGGATGTTCCACACTGCTTGGCATTTCCACTATCTAAAGCTACACCGCCGCTCCGCTGACCGGCTCAAATCTGCCACAAATTTGCATGTGATTGAATGCCACACATGCATCCGACTACTAGAAGGCCTCTAATGATATTAAAATAGATGGGAGGGGGTGAGAGGGAGTGGGGGAATGTTTATGAATGGAAGGAATGAGGTTTTCCTCCCTGCTGGCGGTAGTGGCGGTCATATGGCTGACTGAGATATCACTTACAGGGGACACTGAACCCTGCAGGTTGAACAAACAGCTGATACGGACACCGGCGCATAAAACGCCATTAAAACCTCCCGCGAGCTTCCACTTCTCACTTTGACGCATCAATTCATTCAGAAAACTTCTCCTGATTCCCCCCTTCTTTCCACTTCTTTTTTTTTTTTTTCCTTTTTAAATCGATCATACACCGTTTCATTTATCCTTCTCTTCGAGTCAGCCTCTCGAGCGGGCGTACTTATGCCATTATCACAGCAGTACCTGAAAATAATCTGACATGATTGTGTGTTTCCATGGCAACCATGCCAACGTCTCTAACAGTTTCCCGGTTCCTGTCTACATATATAATTATTGCCACAGATTACAGCACCAAGACTGCAGAAATGAGCGGAAGAAAGCGGGCAGTCGACCAGACAGATATGTGATCAAACTGTGTTATAGTTCTTCAGCTGACAGACATTAAAGTACAGCTGCTGTCAATTTGCATAAAATCATGGTGGGGAAAAAAAGTGTTCTCTGCCTTTTATATGAAATGCTGTCTTCATTTCAGTCCTTCATGCATTTATCATGTGCACTTTAATTCAAAAATTGATGTCCACCAGACGTTTCGGACATACAGATGCTTATAAATGCATAATGTAGCTTCAGTTCAATCTTCACATTGTCATAGATTTTAAGCGTGGTTAATTATCACTACATGCAACACCATCAGAAGTGTGACCGTCACACAAGGCAGACAGCATGAATTTCCAAATTGCAGTCTTTGCAATTTGCTTAATTGTATTGTTTCAAACTGTGATTTCAATTTTAATTGTTCAGCTCCTAATGGTTTTAATGTGCTGAACTCCAGCTTAAAGGATTAATCAATTTATCAATTAGCCACCAGCCAGAAAGTGAAGCAGCAACTCTGCAGCAAAAAAATTTTTTGAAATAAATTAATACAAATAAATTTTAAAAAACAAGTCAGACAACTGCATTTTAAGCAGTTTTCTCTTATTTCCTGTACAAATAATCAAGAAGAAGTGAAATCACTATGTGGAAAATATTTCCATGTGCCCCCAGATGTTACCAATACTAAAAAAAAAAATGACTGTACATACACTATATATATTATTTTTTCCCCCATTTGTTAAAATACGTGTCATATCTGCTCTGTGTAACTGCAGCCTGCAGTCTAGCAGACAAAACCCTTCATTTTTGACACGTGATGGCAGTTTATTTTTTTTTAATTATTAGATAATTTTGATTAAATATAATGATTTTAAGCTTATATTTGGTTAGAACCACACATGATTAATTCAAGGGCTGTCTGGAAATTGATAATCCTACATTTATTTCCATCTTTGCTGTTTCTGTCTCTCATAAGATTTTTTAAATTCAGTTTTTGTTACTATTTTTTGACATTATATGGACCAGTTTGACAAAAAATACATAAATAATAGAGTCAAATCATACAGTATTGTCCAAGTGTGACCAGTACTGGAACAAAAAACATGAATTTACACATTTACTGTAGATATTTTTAATTGTACTAATTATGATGACATATAACACATTCTCCAAATCAAACTGAAAACCAGTGATTAATTCCAGGACCATCATAGACCTGTAAATCTGATTATTCTTCCTGTTTTTATAGATTCTTGATCAATGGTGTCATTTTGGACATTTGAAAAAAACTAACACGCCTTGAAAACCACTGTGGGTTCATTTTGTCACTGAAAAATAAACTCCTTTTGATTAATCGACTAAATAATCAACATATTAATCGATAATGAAATGTGTAGCTGAGATAAAACCCTTAATTTATTAATTGTATTAATTAAATTACAGTTGCTTTAATGAAGTCAACCTACATTACAGTCCCACCTTCATGTTAACAACATCCAACATCACCTGCATTTCCCCCCAAACTGTGCAGGATGATAAATATGAAGACTAACCACGTTCTGCATTTGTCCACGCATGATCTGCATCCTCGCAGCTTTCTGTTTGTTTGTTTGTTTGTTTGGGGGATCAGCTGCCATGTGCGGGTCTCAGGCTGGGGATAGCCTGCTGTAGGGGGGGAGGAGGAGGAGGAGGAGAGGGAGAAGGGGGGATGCACGGACGTGAGAACCCCTTGCAAACCCCCCATCTGCACGTCATGGAACATTTGCAGAACAGGGACCTCCCACCTTAAAGGCGTGCAACAGAGAGCAGACACAACAGAGAGATCTGCCCTGCACCGGACTCACCAGCTCAGGTGACAAATACACCTACCGCCGCCGCCGCTGCCGCTGCGGGTCTGCCGGGGGGAGAGGTGCACAAGGACGGCCTGGGAACGCGCCCCCGGCCGCGGTGTGTAGGTGCGGAGCGCCGGAGAGTCTTACCGGTGCAGAGGGCTTCGTTACAGCCGCTTCACAAGGAGCGTTGCTTCCTCGGGTCGTCGGTGCACAGCGGGGTGCATGGATCGGTTTCACTCCGTCGGGTTCTTTATTAAAATGTCACAGGAGGCGGATCAGGTGTTGTTATATAAGTGGACAGCAGGGGGCGCCACCGGGAGGGATCACTGAATAACCCTGAGCTGAGAAATGGCAGGAAAACATGACTTCTGCTGGAGTTGATGCACAGCACCCCAACAGAGACCCAGCTCGTTTTATTTAACTGCCCCAACTAGTTTTTGCTTGTTTTTCACCTCACATTTTTATTTACCGTGGACTCATTTTTCTCTGTAATATTAAGTCCTGCACCTCAGTGGAAACAGCACCATCACTGCTAGAAGTACAAATAACTCAGAAAGGATTTTATGTTGTATGACAGTTGCAATGCCACAAATCATTTAAAAAAATACAATAAAGTTTATTTATTTCACAAAAAACCTGGAGCCACATGTACAACATGTCTACAGGTGTTACCACTTATGAAAAACATGTGACTCTGCATACTGTAGATGTTTCACTGCTTACATTTTAAATTTGTTTCTGTATGCTCCTGAAAAATCTTAGAATTTTAAAAGCCTTGCAACTCTATGAAAACAGCATAACCATAGCTATAAACCGAATGAACTCAAAATGTCTGTAATGGGTAGTTGACAAAGTTCTAAATTATAAAAAAGAAGAAGTTGAATTTCATCTGTTTCCCCCTGCTGAATGTGTCCTCCAACAGCTTGGCCCTTTGTATGACGTTTTTGAGCCATGCTGCGTTTATTATATTTTCTATTTACAGAATCTGGTGCAAAAAGTAAATTTTCTGGTGACTTTATAAATTAGAAATGTACAATGAGAGGATCTAATATCCTGATTTTAAACTTAGATTTATCTTCCAGATGGAACAACATGTCACAAAGTGTGTTGTAGAACTGTCACAAAGTTCAAACTCCAGCTATTCCTTCTGTTTTTATAGTTTCTGACTCTGCTGAATTGTGTAATTTTGCTGATTTGTTATAGATAACATGCCTTTGAAATCCCCTGGTGGTTTCTGCGGTTCATGGGATTGAACATTCTTTCACCTAAAACCACACTGACCAGCGCTGCAGACTTACTGCAGAATATGTAAAAAACAAAAACACAATCGTAGAAATCTGGAGAAGAAATCAAAAGCTCAAACACAGTCCATGACGTTTTGACATCAAAGGTCACCAGTGTCACATGTGGTCTGTGGGTTAATGCTTACAGTAAGGTTTGCTCAGCCTTCTCTGGACTTAAAAATGACTTTTCACTCACATGATTAAAACTTTATTATAAAAAGTTCCAAATACAAAATTAATAATCACGTATAAATGTTTATTCTTGATTCCCTGCATGAACATTTTTAAAAAAGAAACAGAGAATGCAGTGTTTCCTTCACTGATTTCACAGCAAACACCAGCTACGTTCAGTGATTTCAACCTACAAGCGATGGGTTCTGTGTCGGCCTGCAGCTCTGTCGGCTCCTTTTTAAGTTCCTTTAAGTGGCACCTGTCAGCCTCAGTGTCCAGGCCCACTGGCATGGCATCTGGCTGAAGGACAGCTGGGGCAGGAGAACCTGCAGTCCGCTGGGCTTTACAGGCTCCCACTGCAGAGACCCGTGACCGAGAAGCTCTACCTTTTTTAGAACAAAAGCAACACATGAACAAGCTTGACATGCTGACAAAGACAAGAGAGTAAAAAAAGAAGAGAGTAACTGCTCCATGAACAACCAGTCCACTTCATTTCTAAAGATGGAGCGGGATTATTGGACATTCTAGCAGCAGGGCTCGACCAGTTTACCTTTTAATTAAATAAAGGCCTTTTTTTATTGCAAAACAGTCTGTAAAACCAACAACTGGCACAGAATTAACAGACATTTAAAAAAAAAAAACAAACAAACAGCACAATGTCTTTTATGCAGTTGAACAAATGTATAATTCCATAAATCCTGACAAAGGGAAAAAGTAAAACTGGTTTTATTTGAATATTTATTTTGCAAAAAAACTAAACTGAATCAACATGTACAGCATTTTTCCGAGGTGTTACTAATACTGGAAAAGTGGTTTCTCTACATACTACAGATATTTAATTTATATTTTCATTTCCATACTTGTCTCCTGCCTGCTCTGTGTAAACACTGTCTGCAGTTCAACCCAGTTCTGCCAACCAGTCATGGCACTTGATTGTTGGTCGTAGCTTGATCGCTGCTAACGTAACAGTTGTGCCGAGAAATGCTGAATTTTTAGCTTTTAATAGAATCTGGTTGCAACAAATTATTTATTTTGGTGATTTTTTTTAATATGACATGTAGACTAAAATGATGTTAATGAAATATCTCAGTTTTAAACTTCGATTTGGTTTATTTTCCTGGTGAAACTGCAAATAACATGATTAATTTAAGGATCATTGGAAAGTTGCAACTAAGATTTTGTTCTGGATCTGATAAATGGTGTCACATTGGCATTTAAAAAAACAAAAAACAAACAAAAAAAGGATAAAGTGCCTTTCAAACCCGCTGATGAATTTTGGGGTTTAGAAGGATAAAGCAACAAGTCTTTGTTTCCATCTGTGTCCAGTGTGAGGATTTGCTGCTTTTACCTCTGTGTTATATTATAGGAAAAATAAATATTCTTGGGTTTAACACTATTTTTCTCCCACAAAGCAAAGTTGAAATACTTGACTCTGGTGGGCAGTTTCCACTATTTTATGACACAAAACTATCAGTCAAATAATTGAACAAAATAATAGTGAGATTATTCAATCGTAGATGTTAGTTGCAGTCTTACGTCCTGTTGTAACGTTTAAAAAGTCAAGCACCTTGATCTCCTCTCCTACTATACAGCGAGTTATCCAGCATTACCACACTGATCACTGTGTATATAAGGCTGTCACATCCTACAGATAATATTGACTAACAGCAAACACCGACTTTACTTTAAAAACACAAGTGGCCCACATAAATCCAACTCCAGTCTTTACTGCTAATTAGGCTTCACGGTTCAGTGAGTCCGTGCTGAGGATGTAATTCACTCTGGATCAACACTTAAAGTAAATGCAACCATGCAGGCACTGGAAAGTGTTTTATTGAACTGCAACCAATACACACCATGTTTAAAGATTAATGCTAGATTTTTTTGAGTTAAATCTGGGCTTGACATCTTGTCCAATATCCAGTTTTTACGAAAACACATGAAGCGCTCTGACCTCAAACATATTTTTGGCTTTGTAGAGCAATGCACATCCATACTAACCTATCTGCCAGAAGCTAATAGCCTCACATAAATATCAGTGGAGTTCTAGTCTTACCTGAGTTTGTCCTGGAGTAACCACGGGTTCATTCAGAATCACTGATCCGTTATTCGGCCACTCAAGTAAAATGGCAAAGATGGCCTTTTCCTGAGGTCTGGAAGTGTACCTGTTGGGAGACAGGCTTAAACATCAATATATAGGCTTTCATATGAGCATTAAATATCGCTAACAATAAGCAATAACTAACGATATACAATATGCTAGTTAGCATATTTAGATAGTTAGCATGTGCCATATCTACCATCTCCATTACTCCATCAAAGTTTATTGCCTCCTGATCCAAGACATTTCATGTGTGGTATCTGTAGATCCCACTCGTACTGTTTTCCTAGATACTACACACTTCTTGTGTTGTAGATCAGCTGTAGTACCTGGTTGTGCCACCAGGTGGAGCTTCTTACTTTTTGTTATTGTGTTGACCAGAGGAGGTGGGCAGTTCCATGTTGGCAAACAATTGTCATTATTGAATTTCCCTTCTGGGATAAATAAAGTATTTTTCATTCATTTTCATTCATTTCATGGAGGTTTAGAGAATAAAGGGGCACCATGACTTCTGTGACACTTACTGACGTCCAGCCAGAGCTTTTGATACACAATGGTTGGAATCAAGTCAGAGTGTTACACAATCCAATTAGCTTGTGCTATAGAGCTAAGATTGTGATTAATAATGTGTCTGTTGATTAAAATGACAATACACAGAAAGCGTAAGTGTCCATAGTGTTCCACTTGCATGATTAATTGATCAATTGTTCATTTATAATGCTGTACTTGATACAACGTCCTCATTACTACTGAAGCTGTACCAATCCATTTGCTCATCTCATGCTACATTTTTCAATCAGTCATGGACAAGATCCCAAAATACTTGAACTCTCTATACATTATACATGCATACAAAGGTTCTACAGGATGACTGAAACTATTTTTATACATTTTACCCAAAGTGTGTCCACTGTAAGCCAAACATAACGCATCAACAGAACTGAGAACCCACCAGATGTGTGGAGTGACGCTGTCGTTCTGAGCCCTCCACGCTGTTGTGTTGTAAATCGCCTCCCCGTTCACCCTCAGCCACCGGCCCATCTGCCTCAGACGCTCCTCGAAGATCGGAGCGATCCTCCCGTCGTGTGTCGGGCCGACGTTCATCAGCAGGTTTCCTCCACAGGACACAGTTTCTACAAGTGTCTGAAGAACACACTGGAGCTAAAGCTGATGTGTGGGTGTGTTGCAAATCAGTTCATCATTACAGGATCATTTCAATACATGGCTACAATGAACAAAGAGAAGACGGGGAGTAAGAAGATTTTTTGCTGAAAGGGGCTCTTCTTTTAGGGAAGTGGGGATAAAACCTGCAAGTAAGCCCCTAAAACTGATAGATTAATTGATTAGTTGATTGCCACAAAATAATAGCTAATGATGTGTGTTGAAGCATTTTTTTTAAAGCATATATGATTCACAGGTTTCTTAAATGCTGGTTTTCCTGGTCTTCTACAATAGCAAACCAAATATTGTTGGGTTATAGCCTTTTCTTTCATATGTTTTATATGTTTTCTACCTTTTTTCTGACATTTCGTAGATTAGAAATTAAGCCATTAACTAGAAAATCAAATGCAAATTCTAAAGAATTATTATTGCTTCTTGGATAAACAGTCAGAAGATGGAGTAAAATGCCACTGAACAAAACACTTTTTAGATTATGGTTTGTGTTTTTACTCAAACTGAAAGGGAAAACAAACAGTAACAGGATTTATGGGTAGTGTAGTTTCTCCATTTTTTGGACCGCTTCTAAACAATTTACAATCATTTCAACCACAAACAGCTCAGTCTTCCTTCTCATGTTTTCCAGGGATTTTGGCTGCATCACGTGGTCTTCACCAGTAGATGGAGCACTAACTGCCCTGCTGCCTGTTTCTGAGGTCAACATGCATGAGAAGCAACAAGAAGAGCCCAGAGAAGGCCTCCTGCTGAGGTATGAAGTGGTCAAAAGCTCCAGAGAAAGCAAGTAAGCTGAGGTAGTTTTGCTGATAAATATCTCTTATCTATTCCAATAAATTACAGCATAATGTGATTACCACAGAATCCTTATCTTTTAAAAATAACATATGAAAAACATTTAAATTTCATCTAGTCCTCACTTTCTTTGTTTTGTTTTTTTTCACACACTAGACTGCATTTGGTAAAAAATATTTTAAACAAGATTATTGTTGCTGCTTGAGAATCTGCTGCAACTGAAGATTTTCTCAATCGACAGTTTTATCTGCAGCATGTTATAAATACAATCAATATTTAGATTAAAGCACCTCAAATATCCATTTTGACTGCTTGTTTTATTAAATAGTCATCCTCCAAAGATATTCAGTTCACTGTCACATATGACAAAGAAAAGCATAAAATCACTGCTATCAGAAGCTGAAGCCAGAAAACTTCTGACATGATTCCAATTCTTATTTAAATAGCTGTCAGTTAATTTACTGTCAAAAGTGTGAAATAATCCAGTGTGCCATTTTAACATATTTTAGATTACATGATGATGATTATATGAGTTGATTTTTATCAGGGAGGTAAATAAATGAAGCTTTGAAGCTCTCCATGTTGTAATAAGTGTATTCTTTCAGCAGCCATATGGGAGCTTTCACTTCTATCACGTCATCAGCAGCAGGTGGTTGTACAGTTATTTCAGTGCACTTTTGATGACGCAACATATTCTTTACCAGCAGTTTTGTTATTTAATTAAACGTAATAAAATCAAACAGGAAATGAGGTTTTAAACTCACCGCCACAAGCTGCTCGATGCTGAGGTAGTCGCTGAGAGCAGCGTTTCTTCTGTAACCCCAGGACTTGGTGTCGATGGTCATGCAGTTTTCCCATTTGTGCTGGAGCAGGTGTCCCGGCTGGTAGCGATCTGCACAGGTGTAGTAACCGCCGTGGGTGCAGATGGAACCCAAACCCCAGCGATCATTTGTCACCACCGTGTCTCGTACTGGACTGTGAAGAAAAACACACTTCATTCAGTTCAGTTTTTATTGGCATGATGGGAAAACAGGTCGCTTCATTTCAAAGTCTACCTGTCATTATAGAGCCAGGCCAAGAAACCGGTGCTGTTCCAGTAGCTGTCAGGTGCGTCTCCGTCCCCATCAGACCAAAGCACCTCCGGTTTGTACTTGACGACGAGCTCGTAAAGCTCAGGCAGAGTTTTAGTGGTAGGAAAGTAGTTTGTAGTGAAGACGTTGGCGGCGTCCTGTTCAAACAGCGGGTTGAACCACTCAAAGAGAGAGTGGTACAGGCCGAGACGCAGGTCGCTGTTACTGCGCAGAGCACTCGCCACCTCACCCACCAGGTCTCTTTTTGGTCCAACGTCCACTGCGTTCCAGTTCCAGGAGTTTTTTGAGCCCCAAAGTGTGAAACCTGAGAAAGACGGCAACAAAACAAAACGACTTCTGTGTGGCTGAAAGAGCACCACACATTTCTGACACTCACTACGTTACTGTCAGTGTTTGGATTTTGTGCACAAGCTTTCGTTCTTAGCAAGTATTACTAAAACTCAAATTAAGCTCATTTTGTGTACCTTCATGGTGTTTTGTGGTCAGGACGATGTACTTCGCTCCCGATGAGGCAAAGATGTCCGTCCATTCTTTGGCATCGAAGAACTCAGCGGTGAACTGCGGAGCAAAGTCTTGATACCTGAAGTCTGGAGGATAATTCCTCTGCATGAAGTCAACATACGGCTGTAGCTTCTGCTTCTGCCAGTACCACCTGGAATACAAATTAAAATGAAGAAAAGGCTGAAAGAAGGGGAACAATTTTGATAGTAAAATACATCTTTGTCAAACATTTACTGCAACTTTCTTGGAAAGTAAAATTGTTTTTAGAAAGTAAACAAATGTTAATAAAACAATAATAACAATTTTACAAAATGACTTAACCTAAAACTTTGTAATAAACTCTGAATGTATAATGACAAGTTTAAGCTGAAGTCCCTATAACATCCTAAAAACGTTAAAATACTCACTCCCTATGTAACAACATGTTCCAGCCATGCTTGGTGATTATATGAGTTAAATAATAATATTTTTTTAATCTTCTCATGTTATAATTAGTTTATTCCTTCAGTAGCTGTACTGGAGCATTTCATTAATATCACTTGATTTCCATCAGCAGCAGTTTCCTGTCTTTTCTCTGCACTTGAAAGAGTTCAATGTGCTGGTCTGAAGCTTTTTGATGACAACTTGTTCTCCACCAGCAGATAATAAGATTCAAACATGGATAATGAATTTGAACATGGTGACTGGAATCAGGGGAAATGGCCCCTTCAGCTTTTAAACCAAATAAAAATCTTGCATGGTTTTAAACTGTCATCACTGTCATGACATCTTACTGGTGGAACATGCAACATGTGTGGACTTCAACGGCTCCGTGGCGCAATGGATAGCGCATTGGACTTCTAGGTAGAGGCGAAGAGATTCAAAGGTTGTGGGTTCGAGTCCCACCGGAGTCGCCTTTTGAAGTTTTTTATTTTTGGATCAACAAAGTTCTATTTGCTCTGATCTGATCTGATCTTATTTTAATTAAGAAAATTATTTGTTGAAAATGTTTTTTTTAATGTGAAGTTCATTATGTAAACAAAATAATAAGAAAAAAATTGAAGCCGATTATGAGATTTGTCACATAGCAAATATGCCTTTTAATTAATAAAGAATATACTTTTTCTAAACTCCTAGTGATAATAAATGTATGGTACAGTACCTAAAACTTTATATTAAGCTCTGAATGTATAATGACATGTTTAAACTTAAGTCCCTATCATATCCTAAAATGTTAAAATACCCATTCCCTATGTAATAACTTGTTCCAACCATGCTTACTGATTATATGTGTTGATTGCTTTTTAGGGAGGTAAATAAAATATGTTTTAAAGCTTCTTATGTTATAATTAGTTTATTCCTTTAGCAGCTCTACTGGAGCATTTGATTAATATCACCTGATCTCCATGAGCAGCAGTTTGCTGTTTTTTCTCTGCACTTCAACATGCTGGTCTCAAGGTTTTTGATGACACAACATGTTCTTTACCAGCAGATAATAAGATTTAAACATGGATCATGAATTAGAACATGGTGACTGGAACCAGGGGAAATGGCCCCTTCAGTTTTTAACACAATACCTCTGACAGGTTATTTTTTTCTTCCGTGTAAGAAGCAGAGATTTGTGTAAAATGCTCTGAATGTCCGGAAATGTTTGAACATTAACAGACATCTTTTTATAACACATGAGTCCAGAGGTTTATACATGAATTCAAATGAATTCATTAATCACTGACACAAATAGGTGCCACACGTACATTTAAACAGGTTACTTCCCCAAACAAAAGACACAAAAGGGGAAAGAAGAGTAAATCACAACCGCATGTGTTGAATTAACACGGATAATATTTTAAAAAAAATTCAAAATGGATGATTATTTGAAAGCATTATATTCCATTAGATTCTGAATTGTCCACTGGTGCTTTATTTATTTGTTTTCATTTACATACTTAAAGATAATTCCACCATAAGGAACGAAAAATTAATCAGAATGCAAGAAATGAACTTTTTGAATCCTTGAGGGAGGACACCTACATAAACAACTCTGCCACCTTTTCCTATCACAGTAAATTGACCCTTTATTTGTTTGTTTGTTTGTTTGTTTGCTTGCTTGCAGCTTTTATACTAACTAATTAATAGTTGTAGTGACTTTTAAAATTCCCTGGCTCCACATTTTCAAATAAGATGACGTGATCCTTTTCTTTGTCATTTATGATAATGAACTGAATATTTTGAGGGTTGGATCTTTGGTCAATAAGACAAAAATCATCTTTTTTTTTCAAATCCTACGTTTTTCATTATTTTCACGTAGTGACAGAACAAGTAACGTTCCTGCCACCTGTGAGTCGAGGTAATTCTTGGTAGATTCTTTGTAGCCAAGTCCAATCAACACACTCTTCTGCTACCAAGAATCTACCTGGATTGTATGTTTTGGCCAATCAGCGCTGGTATCGCTACCACGGTATCTGTCCAATCAACGCTCCAATCGCTACCACAATATGTGGCTAATCAGTGCTGGTATTGCTACGAAGACCCGCCCCCCTTTCTACCAAGAATTGACGAATCAGAGACTTCGGGCTGCCGGCTGGACGAAATTCAAATATGATTATTCAAACACGATAACGATCCATCAGCTAAACGCCGCTTTATGGCTCTACTTCAAGCCTACTTCACATTTATACGTTCTGGTAGCTGCAGTTATGAACATTTACCAGTTTTAAGTATTAAAACAATTTTGGACCGAGCGGGATTCGATCCGACGATCTCGGGCTACTGCAGTCAAGGCGTCTATGAATGACACGAATGAATTCAATACATGCTTCGTAGATACAACATTATATTCCATTGTATTGTGAATTGACACCTGGTGCTTGGTTTTCGCATTTTTACATAGTTAAAGACTCTTCCACCACAAATTGACGCAGAAAAGGCACAAACTGGTGCATAAAAACAATCAGAATGCAGGAAATGCACTATCTGACATTCCTGATCACTTTTTTACGTGTTGTTTGAGCTTTGAAAAGCTTTGTCCAGCTTCTCCTTTCCTTCATTCAACAGAAAAATAACCCACAGCTATTTTACTAATCAATGAATAGTTGTAGTCACGTTTCAAGTCAAAATGCCGCGTTTCCTGGCTCCAGCTTCTCAAATGCTATGATTTAAGTCGTTTCGCTTTCATATATGATAGTAAACTGAAATACTTTAGGGTTTTGGTCAATGAGACGTACAATCAAAAGAAAAGCTTGAGTTTTCCCAACTCCGTGTGTCATCATCGCCATGACATCTTACTGACGGAACATGCAACACGTGTAGACTTCAACGGCTCCGTGGCGCAATGGATAGCGCATTGGACTTCTAGGTAGAGGCGAAGAGATTCAAAGGTTGTGGGTTCGAGTCCCACCGGAGTCGCTTTTTGAACCTTTTTTTTTTACTTTGGGATCGATAAAGTTTGATTTGGTCTGATCTCATCTGATCTGATTTTAATTGAGAAAATTACTCGTTGAAGTTTTACTCAAATTCTCGATTATTACTTATAGTCTTGTGAAAATGTGTCTTTAATCTGAGGTTTATTAAGTAAAGAAAACAAAATACCAAAGTTAAGCCTGTTATTAGAATGGTATATATTTGACACATAGCAAATGTGCCTTTTTTATTATTACCGATTATACCTTTTCGAAATTCCTTGTGATAATAAAAGTATGCTGCAATTAATGATAATAAATAAGACGTACAATAACGTAATAACGTAGTAAGATGTTGATCAGCAAAACAATCCCATGTTAACTCTATCTGCTGATGAAGACTAGCTATTAGCCAACAGAAGAGCTACTAAATGCACCTTGTGATATTTCTCAACCCACATTCTTGTACGTTATACGTATATTTTAATCGGATTCTAATGCTCTCAAGCCACACACAGTATTTGTGGTTTATTACACAACATATACATTAATACCCAAATATGAATGACTGTAGCTAGTACAGCTGTGCTTGCCTGGATGTCAGGGCTCATAAATGTAAAATCTTGTGATATTATGTTAAAGGAAACGCTCACCAGAACCACTCGCTGCCGAAGCTGGGCACAGAAAACACTCCCCAGTGTATGAAGATGCCGAACTTGGCCTGGTCGTACCACTGTGGCAGCGGTCTGGAGTCGATGGACTTCCAGTTGGGTTCGTATTTGGCTCCGCAGGTGCCGATCAGCAGCATCGATGCGAGTAAATAAATCACGTTTGGAGCCATTTTAAGGCAAAACCGGTCGACGTGACACCAAAAAACGCCTGGCTATCACATGACAACGCAGAAAATTGTCTATAATTATCACGTAATAAAGCGAAAGGTCATAAAACGGACAAAAGGAGAAAATGATGCACCGTAAAAATCTAACAAAATGCAGCTTCTTCTGGGAATGCTTGATTTGCTACCGTTGGTTCACCGTCGAGGTTCAACTCATCAGATTTAGGAGACACCGCTTCTTCGAGCTACGCGGTGTTGTCGATCAAGCGCACCGACGACTGGCACATGCGTACTTCGCTTTTCTTTCAGGAAGCGGTTATTGTTTTGGTTGTGGAGCACTGCGTCGTCCACATGCATGGATACGTCGATTGTCACTGTCATATCTCTGCGGGGGATTTTGACAAGGTATGAGCGCACTTTAAATGAATAATTATTCATGTTTTATCTTTGAAACTTCTTACGAGGCGTTAACTTTGTCTCTTTTTGTCGTCAGGACATAGAAGAAGTGATTGAGAGTTCAAAAAAGGTGAGCTGCTTCATTTACAAGCTGAAAGTCAAATGGGGATTGTCCTGTTCTTTATTTAAGCTAAATTTCTTGCAATATTTTTGTCCAGGCTGGATTGTTGGCCCTGTTAGCTGTGGCTGAGCATGCTGGAGAATTTGACAAGATTATTGAGTTGTCACAGAGGTAACTATGACTGCTTGAAATGGTGTAACTTCACTTTTCTGGACATGTTTAATCGACAGCTTCACCTTTCCTTAGGTTTCCAGGTTTTATTTTCCCCTGCTTAGGAGTCCACCCTGTTCAGGAAGTTTCCCCAGAGCAACAGAGGGGTGCTTCTCTCCAGGTAATGATACTCCAGTTTAAAATTGTTCAGTTAATTTTTATTTATATAGCCCCAATTCACAACATATGTAATCTCAGGACACTTGACACAGTAAGGTGAATCCCAACAATATTATATTATAGAGAAAAGCCCAACAAATGCAAAGATTTACTTTGAGCAGCAGTTGGTGACACTGATAAGCAAAAACTGTCCTTTAACAAGATGAAACATTCAGCAGGCTCAGAAAGGGTAAACATCTGTCTCGACTGGTTAGGGTCAGGTTAAAGAAGAGAGGGGAAAAGATAGCAGAGAGAAATCAGACAAACAACATGTAGGAGAACACTAAACATTAGGGAGGCTGGTTGGCTGTGTGGCAAAGAATAGAATAGAAAAATACTTTATTTATCCCAGTCTGGGAAATCACTGTGGTACAGCAGCAGCAAGAGAAAAACACCATTCACAACAGAAAAAGAGCTAAAGTTAAATACTATTTTAAAAAGACACACAAATTACAAGAGAGAACACACAAAGTTAGAGACATGCAGGCATCCTCGAGCAACCTGGGCTCCTGGCAGCATTACTAATAGATGGTTAAGAGTCACCTAAGCAGCCTCAACTATAGGCTTTGTCAAAAAGGAAAGTTTTAAGCCAAATCTTAAAAGTACATAGGATGTCTGCTTCCTGAACACAAACTGGGAGCTGATTTTACCGGAAAGGAGCCTGACAGCTGAGGCTTTCCTCCAAATCTTGGTACATTCTTGGTAGCCACGTCCAATCAACACACTCATCTGCTACCAAGAATCTACCAGGATACTATTCTCTGGCCAATCAGCGCTCGTATGGATACCACAATACCTAGCCAATCAGTGCTCGTATTGCGACAAGACCCGCCCCCTTTGCTACCACAAATTGACGAATCAGAGACTTCCGACTGCTGGCTGGAGGAAATTCAAGTTGACCCACGGTAACCATCCATCTGTTGATTAGCTATACACCTTTATGCCTCTTCTTTGGCTCTGCAGTAATCCTTGTTATATTAGTTGTTGTTGGTTGGTTGTTACAACTAATCAGGAACAACCAGGATTCGATCTGACAATCTGGAGCTATTGATGTTCAGATTCTATGAATAATATGAAGGAATTCATTATATTCTCCATTTATGCTCCATTATATTCCATTATTCTGAGTTGACACTTGTTGCGTGGTTTTGCATTTTCCTTTTCATCATTAGAGACACTTCCACCATAAATTGATGCAGAAAAGCAAAAACTGGTGCATTAAAACAATCAGAATGCAGGAAATAAACACCATTTTATGTGTTGTTTGAATTTTGAACAACTTTGTTGCCTTTTTCTACGACACTCACCTGCCAGAAAATTAAATGACATATTCTGATAATCAGTTAATAGTTGTAGTCACTTTTTAAGTCAAAATGCCACGTTTCCTTGCTTCAGCTTCTCAAATGTAATGATTTGATGCTTTTTATTGTCAGATATGATAGTAAACTGAGTATTTTGGGGTTTTGGTCAATAAGACGTCATTCTTCCATTCTGTGTTTTTAAACTAAAGAAGCCACACATAAATGTGCTGTCTAGGAGCAAAGTGTTCTATGGGGATTATATGGCACCATGATTGCTTTAAGAAAATAACTCCAAGGTTCCTCACAGTAGTTCTGGAAGCCATGAAATTACCACCAAGAGTAAATAACTGAAGTTTTGTCTGAATTTAGAAACCAAATTGCAGGCCATCTCGACTTTTTTTTTTTTCTTTTAGAACGAGGAATCACTTCAAATCAATCCAAAGTTGTTCTGAGTGATCACCTGTGTCCTGTGATAAAAACCTTTCTATACTGATGGGAGTGATCTCTTTCAGCATGACAATGCCTCCATCTATGGGCCACGAGGGGTCACTGAATGGTTTCATGAGGAAGAAAACTACAGGTCACCACATCCATTGGTCATTTTAGACTGACATGTTAGACAGCGCTTTCCTCCACCACCATCAAAACACCAAAAATGAGGGGATATCTTTTGGAAGAATGTTATTTCATCCCTCTGGTAGAGTTTCAGAGGCTTGAAGAATCAATGCTGAAGTGCACTGATCATGTTTAGGCAGCATGTGGTGGCCCAACACATTACTAAAACACTGTATGGTGTTTTTCCTTCAATTTGTCCACCATCAGAATGTTTGCACTTTAGTAACCTAATGTCATGATTATATTTTACCACATTAACGAGTGAATTAATCAGACTATCTGTCTACTCTGTGTATTTATGCTGTTACTCTTCGTGGGGTTCTCTCTTATATTCTTTTGACCTTTTTAAAATAATCCTTTGTGGTGCTCATAGCATTTCAAAACAGCAGCACTTCTTTCCTGAAACAATGTGCCCATTACTTTAGATGATTACCTTTATTCTGATTTATTTTAGGGACTAGTAGTTTCACTGATCTGGTCTCATTAAGTCTGCAGATTATCTATTGTTGTTATCTATACGTTGTTACTGGTGTGACTAGTTGTTTTCTAAATGTGCTTTTCAGTGCTTTCACCACAACTGTGTTTAGATGGTTGTCAGAAATCTCAGAGTAATGAAACTGCGTGTTGTGCTTGATGCAGCTATTTTGGTGAATTATTTTATGGTCTGTGCAGCTCGAGTAAAGACTGTTTTTGTCTGTTTTGCAGGATCTTGATGCTGCTCTACCCATCATAGAGAAGTACAAAGACCAACTTGTTGCCATAGGAGAGGTAAAGATTCGGCCTCTTTGATGCCACTGAAACATCAGTTTCCGTCATTAATTATTACGGTTCGACCTTTCTCTCTTGTAGGTTGGTTTGGATTTTACGCCCAGATTCGTCAGCAGTGACAGTGATAAAGAAAACCAAAGGCAGGTCCTGATTCGTCAGGCACAGATAGCCAAGCAGCTGGATCTGCCTCTGTGAGTGTCACAGTACTGATTAAGTTGATGAGTTAATGAGCTGGTTAATGAGCTGATGATGTTACTCAGCTGATAATGTCGGATTTTAGGAAATCCACCGACACAAGAACTCTCGACTGTAAGAAATCCTCCCTGAGATATTTATAAATGGTTAAAAAACAGCTGTTGGTGGCATCCTCTGAATTTCCTGTCTGACTATTTGCAGCAGTTTTTAATCAAAGGAGAATTTTAAGGAGATTTTTAAAATGACGGAGATATTGCAGCACCAGCCACACTGACACTTCCTCCGAGGATAAGCACAACAGTCCACTGATAACCCTCGATCATTAAATTGACGTCTAAGTTAGAGAACCAGTTGGGGAAAGGGCTCCACGTCGAGCTGATTCAGCAGATAGTTTGTTGGTCTCTCATAAGAAGTTAACTGAGTCATTGTTGTAATTCATTCCGCTTAAGATGTTTCTCCCTCCCGTCTCTCAGTAGTATCCTAATATTTTGTAAAAGCCAAAATAATCCGTCTCTTATCACCTTCTGAACCCCAAAACCTGCCAGGAGGTTGGAAAGGCATGCTGCCCTTTTTTCTTTTGTTTTAATCACAGAAGTGACACCTTGTATCGAAGCCAGAAACTACAAAAACAGAAAATATTGACCAATAATCATCTTTCCAACAGTCCTTAAACTACTCATCTATGACTTGTGCTTCAGCTGGAAAAATGACCCAAATATGAGCTTAAAATTGTGATATTTCATTAAAATCATTTAATTCAATGTACACAAAGTGTTTGCAGTAACCAGAATCTATAAAAAACAAAAAATCCTGTGCTGCTTGGTGCAACTGTGAAGCAAGTAGTGACTCAGCTAAAACCAACAGTCACATGATTTTAAACAATCTGGCTTTTCGGCTGAACTGCAGGCTTTGTTTACAAAGAGCCGATGGGAGACAAGTATGGAAAGAATTCAAAAGTATAAGTAGTGAAAATAGTGCACACATTGAGTCCAGATGTTTACACTTTTTGTTAAATACGTTATTTAAAGAATCCAACTTTAGTTTTTGTCTTTTTTATTATTATTTATGGTAATATAACTTTCTTCAGTTAACATTTTGGAGTTCTCAGGACTTTATATTGCAGAGAAAAAGGAGCCCACAGTGAGCAAAAAGAAGTTGGCATGTATAGTCATTGAATTGTTGTACTTGTAATAGACTTGTGCTGAAATGTTTGGTTTAAATCAGTAACACAAAGCACCTAATAGCTGACAAACCTCTATAATATTTGTGTGTTTTATGTCTAGAAATGTTCATTCGAGGTCTGCAGGAAGACCCACCATCCACCTCCTGAAGGAACAAGGTGAGCAGCTGAGCTTATCCTGTCTGATAAAACTTTGATAAACTGTTTACTCAAGCCTTCTAGAAATAACCTGCAGTTCCTCTGCAATGTCACTAGGTGTTGAAAAAGCTCTTCTTCACGCTTTTGATGGGAAACCGTCTGTGGCTATGGAGGGAGTGAAGGCTGGATATTTCTTTTCCATCCCTCCGTCCATAATACGGAGTGAGCAGGTACAGCCGAGCTCCTGAACACAACTTATTGTTCATTTGCACGCATAAATACTCAGATTTAATTCACAGTTCCACATCGTGCAGCACTGGAGTGTTGGTTGCACATTGGTTGTTAATGATTGATGATGGTTGCTTTGTGTGTTTTCCACCAAGAAGCAGAAACTTGTGAAACAGCTGCCGTTAGAGAATATCTGTCTGGAAACTGATTCACCTGCACTCGGTCCAGAAAAGCAGGTAGAGTTGTTGTTTTGTTTTCAAAATAAATGTTTTATTCTAACTTTTTTTCTTTTCTTTTCTATTGCCATCTGAATATTTTTTAAATTATAAATGTGACTGTATTGGGTAAATGTTTGCTGACTTTATTGTAATTACAGTTTATTTTGCCTACTTTTGTCAAATAACTTTTGTTTTGTGTCCCGATCGCAGGTGAGAAATGAGCCAAAAAACATCAGTGTTTCTGCCGAGTACATCAGTCAAATCAAAGGCGTGTCGCTGGAGAAGGTGATAGAGGTGACGACACAAAACGCTCTCCGACTTTTCCCGAAACTGAAATCTGCCCTCAGACCCTGACGGAGCCTTATTTACAGACTTATATGTCCACAATCTTCTGTTGCCATAGCAATTTTTCAAATTAATTTATTGACTAATCGTGCATTCATGTGAGTTGTGAAGCTGTTTGAGTTTGGTGCATTTGTGTGCTTTTAAGAACATAGATGCAACAAAAAAGATGTCATTTAAAGTGTTTAATCAACATGTTTATAGCTGTTTCCAGTGTCTGCATGATGAGATAATATTACAGATTGAAACTCTTTTACAATCAACCAAACATTTTCTAATTTTCCTGCCACGTCTCTGTGTGTTTGATGCTGCTGTTCTGACCCGAGGGCCTGTACACATTCATTTTCCCACTCAGCAGCTCATCTTTTCAACTCATCCGACCTCATTAATGTGCTAATGTGATTGAACTAAAACGCCCTGAAGTGTAAATAAATGTACAAAGACACTCCGGGTCAATTGAGCCGTAAATTTGAATGTCAGAGCCACATTATTAAAAGCTAAAAGATTTATGGACACAGTCTGTTCGTGGCTGTTGATGGCAGCGTTCTTAAATAAAGAAAGGTGAGACAACAATTTAACACTCAAGTTGTGTATTTTTCATGCACGTGATACATGCGAAACATCCAGCGTTTCATAAACACCTTGTCATGCAACAACAACAGCTTACCGGTGCGAGTCATGCTCGCTCATTTAGACGCTGACGTCAGTGTGAAGAGAACAATCACAGCATGTCGGTGGTTTACAGGGCGGTGATATAAAGTCGGCACGTTTTCAGGTCACTTTCTCTCTTTCTAATTGAAAGGCGATTCATCATTTACTGATGCTGCCAGACTTTAGTGGTTCTGGATCAGACACAGTTCACATCTGTTTGGGGTATTGCTGCCTCAAGTGAGCTCGTACATTTGAGTTCTGATGTTAATTGATGAAGTTAAGTTTCATCACATTGTTGAATATTTATGATCGGCCTCCCTCCCTTTAAAGAACCCGTCTGTGAAATGTTTCTTACGTTAACACATCTGTATGAGGCTTTTCCATCTCATATAATCAGAGCACTTCTGCTTGACCGTCTCTGATTTGCCTTAAAATGTTGACATCATAAATATGGATATTTAATAAAACAATATCTGTGAAATTTTAGCTTGATGTATCAAATACTTTTAAAAAAAATGTAATCATTCCAAAAAAATTCCCATCTACTCATTTCAACACCTTTATTCGCACATAGAACGTTGAGGGTATGTTTAAATGACAATATCTCAGGAACTTTTCAAGATAAAAGCCTGAAATTTTCACTGTTATTTCCCATCAGGTCATTGATGAAGAATTAGACAAGCAAATCAAATAATGTCTGATTACTGGTGAGTTAAAATGTGAAGAAAAAGCATGCTGTACGATTTTATCACTTTTGTGACCAAGTATTTCATGATAGAACGTATTCTATGTGTTTTGTTTTATATTATTATAACATGCAAGTACATATGGTTTAGAAAATATCACACGTTGATGTATGCTTTAGCAAGTTTTGTTCATTTGTGCTCAAATATTAAACTTTTTTTCATATTTCACCCATTATAAGAGACTGTTTGAGCTACTTGTCAGTACAATAGTTCAGATTCTGAAGCAATAACATGATGAGAAATAACTGGAAACTTCAGGCTTTTATCTTTATTTGTTCCTGAGATACTGGGTTCAGACATAATCTCACATTTCAAGTGGGTCGATGAAAATGTATTTTATCTCGCAGAGTATTTGATATATCAAACTAAAATTTCACAAATATCCATATTTTATGTTTGAACATTTTCAGGCAAATCAAAGATGGCTGACAAAGTCTAAAAATCTGGCAGTGTTGATTTTTTTAATATACTTTACATACTATATAAACTTGCCCTGTGATAGACTGGTGACCTGTCCAGGGTGTCCCCTGCCTTCACCCTAAGTCGGCTGGGATAGACTCCAGCCCCCCATGACCCTCATGAGGATTAAACAGTGTATAGATAATGGATGGATGGACTATATAAACTTGATGCACAGAAATGAGTTTCTAGGGGTTAAATCAATGATGGGGAGGAACTTTAAGAGCTGCAAACTTAATTGTGGCATTTAGATTGTTTGAATTGAAAGGTTTAATGTCAGGATGATTTAAATACAATTTGAAGTGTTTTTCCAAGCTGCTGAGTACATTCATGAGCCAGTTTATTAGGTCTACTGAGCTAAAACTAATACAATTTAATACAGCAGTCTTATAGTGTGACCTACACGTGTTAATCAGCTATTTTACAACAATTTCCCTGAGGTGCCCTACCAAAGGGATCAATAAGTTCTATCTAATCTAATCTAATCTAATTTTCTTTTTTGTAGATTTAGCTGTAAAGGTGTATCAATAACGGTTTGGGCATTGTGTCCTTTGCAGGTGATTCTTTTATTTTATCTGCCCCATCTACGTACATAAGTACATAAGCTCTTCTCTTTAGTTTGTGGGAAGTGAGCATATTGATTTGGTGATGTTCATGTGATTTTGGTGTTTACACTGTGAGGAAGTCAGATGAGATTCTGCTCAGTCAGTATCGACCCGTCATCTGGAGAAACTGCTGCTTTTATCTCCACCAGATTACTGTCATGGACTTTATTCAGGTCCACCTAAGACAGTGATGAGGGAAAAAAGCAACCCCCAATGCTGCTGCTGCTGCTGGAGTTTTAACTGACCAAGTTGAACATCTGGTCACAGGTCTGTCAGGTTTTAAAATGTGACTGCTTGTCCATAAACCACTGAATTGTTTTGGTGTGCAGAGCAGCTCAGATAGGTTGACCCTGCATGAACCCTGTAAAAGCCAGGAAGGACTATGGGAGTCTGGCTCATTCTGCAAGTTGTCTCTCAATAGCTGCATGATTAGTGGACTGTCTTTGTACGATTCCTCGCTCAGTGTGTCGAGCTCTGCAATGGCGGCATCAAAAGCTTCTTTGGCCAGCTGGCAGAAACTGCTGCTTTTTTCTCAGATGAGTTGAGGATCTCATAGTAAAACATTGAGAAACTGAGAGCAAGACCAAGACAGATTGGGTGCGTCAGAGCCATACCATCTTTGCTGATGTCCAAGGCAGCTTGGTATGCTTCCTGTGACTGGTCTTTTTCTTTCATCTCTCCTGAAGCCACAGCCACCTCAGCTGCTAATAATCTCCCTTCATTTTCAGATAAAAGAATTTGCCCTCTGGCAGTTCAGCTTTGGAAATTAGATGGTTGTCCAAGACTTCCAGCACTTCTTGACAGATTTTTTTCAGCTCTGCCACAATCGTGACACGGTAGTTTTTGGCCACGTCCTGCTTCTTTCCACCAGCGTCAGCCTTCTGCTCGATGCTGGACATCACACGCCACGAGGAGCGCCCACCACGTTCTTGTAGGTCGATAACATAACAACGGCCGATAACGTAATTAATTTACACTTTTTAAAAAATGTTATAGGCCAATAACATAATGAAAGCCCTGAACCAATAACGTAGTGTCTTTTGGCCAATAATGAAATAAGTTATTATGTTGTTGGCTTCTCCAAATCCTCCTCCTCTCAGGTCAGCTGGTTGCTTTAAATTTAAACCAGAGGCCTGTTTAAGACTTTTTTTTAGGATTATAGTCACTTTACTTTTAGTTTGCATTCTTTTACTCTTATTTTTCTTGCTTTGTGAATCCTTTTCATGGTCTATGTAAAGCAATATGTCCACATCGATAACCTTGTGGTGCCACTTTGTTGAGGAAGATGAATGAAAACAGGCTGTTTTGATGTGACACCTGAATTTATGAACGGTTTGATTCAGCGCACAGTAAGATTGGCAACTTCCTGTGTGGAATAAAAGACAACAGCCAGCAAGACATCTTCTCTTCATGCTGCATTGTTTTACTCAGTACACCATCTTAAATTCTTCAGAGAATTAATTAGCCAGTCAAGGAGAATTTCTACTCATTTTGTGTAATTCTATGGGCACTAATAGAAGCTAGTGAAGAAAAAACAGCAGCTATTTATTAAGAAAAAGAAACCAGAGTGACTGGTGGGTGAATTTCTGTGACCCCCCAATAGATCGGAGTGTATTGCTAAGTACTTTAACGTTACTATACTTTAAAAATAAAGTGATATTTTGTCCCCTGATTGTATTTTACTCACTGCTTTTTGAATTCAGTCCTCAGTTTGTCGGTAAAATTCAAGTTAAAGGCCTCAGAGTTCAAGGATATCACCCTAAATATTTTACTAAAAGCTCGGATCATGTTATTTTTTTGCTTTTGACAACTTTCAGATCTCATAACTGCTCAGATAGTCAAAGGCAGCAGAGAAAAGTTTTTACAATACTGTCCTCTGTCCTGTAGCATTTGCTTTTTTTCTTAAATTTCTTTATTCTTCTTTAAGAATTCTTCAGCAATGCACAGAATCACTACGTCAAATTCCCCACATCTGAAAACCTACTTGGCAATAAAACTGATTCTGATGCATAAATACAATTAAAAGCCATAAAATAAATACATTTTTAACACTGAAGGGAGAAGCAGAGTTCAGCACCTTTTACATAAAGCAATGAGACTAAAGCTGAGACTTTATAAATGATACTGACGTCTACACCTTCAACAGGAACCTGCTGGATGATAAACAATCACTGCTGATAACACTTTTATGGAAGGAACTCGAGTCATATTTTCTGAAATTTCAGAGAAGTCCAAAACACATTTCAGTGCAGCACTAAGTTTCGTCTGTCACCTCCAGGCAGCAAATTTGAGCTGATTGTTATAAGTTATTTATTTAGGATGTTGTGTTGTAGGACTTTTTTTTGCTGATCTTGCACTTTTTACTTCCCGGAAATATATTTGTTTTTGTGGTTCAAGTTATCTTATCTGCTCAGTCAGTTATGAAATGTAACAAAAATAACTTTTTGATCAAGTATTTCATAATAAAATGTAGATATTTTATTTTTGTATTGTCACTTATTGACTCCTGCATTATTATTATTATTATTATTATTTGTTGTTAATATGTACTCAAATATTGGACTTTTTCACCCATAATCACAGATTATTGGATGTATTTCTCTCATATTGCAGATTCTGAACCTATGACATGATGAGACATAACTGTGGAAAAATTCAGGCTTTTATTTTGTTAAATGACTGAGATATTGGGGTTTAAACATAACTTCAC